TGGCATGCCGTGAGCAATGCATTGCCTTGCCCGGTGACATGCAATCGGCTTGCCATGCCTTGGCCACCCCTTCTTTTGGCATGCCGTGAGTCATGCCTTGGCCACCCTTGGTCTTGGCATGCCGTGGGCAATGCATTGCCTTGCCCGATGACAAGCAATCAGCTTGCCATGCCTCGGCCACCCCTTGTCTGGACCATCGTTTTGGCATACGCCCAAGCGTTTGCCCAAGTGTTTCCAAGTGTTTCCCGTTTCCAAAGTTCCAAAGTGCCTAAGTGCCGTGCCGTGCCGCGCGCGCGCGCGTGGGTCTTTGATATAAGATTATTTAGAAATTTTTTCTAAACATGCTATATCAAAAACCCAAGCGAGCGGGCACGTCACGGGGTGGCACTATGGCACTATGGACACATGGAAACACTTGGACAGCTAGGCGGTGGACGATAACGATTGGCACAGCCTGGCCTAAACGGCAAAGAAAATCTCGTTTCGCCTTGCCAAAACAAATTATAGTAGCATGCCGTTTCAAGGGCCTTTCGGTGTTCTTTCCGGGCATTACTGACGGGTCATGTTTTCTATAGTAAGCGAGGCCAAAAGGCGAAGGAAATCTAGTTTTTGCTCGATAGATCCGTGCTTTGCCTTGCGGGACGGCATAAAATAGCATTTCGTTTCAGGGGCATTTCGGTATTTTTTCCGAGCATTACCGACGGGATGTGATTCCAGGGGTATCAGAGGCCAAACGGCCAAGAATTGCCCGATAGAGTCTTGCTTTGCCCGATAGAGCCATGCTCTGCCTTGCGGGACGGCTTAAAATAGGATTTCGTTTCAGGGGCATTTTGGTCTTTTTTCTGAGCATTACCGACGGGTCGTGTTTCAACGAGCAACCAAGGCCAAAAGGCCAAGAATTGCCCGAGGGGTCTCGATAGCAACGTGCCATGGCACCCGGCATCGGGTGGCCACGGCTTCCCCAAGGGAGGGAGACCACCCCCCCCTATAGTAGCAAATTTAGCCTTTGCCCTTGTGGCAGGAAGGAACATGATTATGTCCGAAAACGTGCAATGGCCTTTTTTTTGAGCATCACAACTTTGTTTCATGAACTTTGAATTGGAACATCTTCACAAAAATATGGAGCAACTCCACAAAAAAATTCAGAATTTTTTGCCGAAAGAATAATTTTATATTAATTAAACAAAAATTAAATATATAAATATTATAAAAAAATACATAAAAATACAAAAAAAGCATGAAAAAATCACGAAAAATTATAAACAAGCTACACAATAATTATGTAACTATATTGGGTTGAAAAATGAGGCATCTACAATACAAAATGTTTAAATTAAAACTTAAAAACGTGTAAAAATAAAAATAAAAAAAGATAGAAAACTAACATCGCGAAAATCCCACAAGATGGTGACTAAACAAGAGTTTTTGGAGAGTTTTGCCAAGATCATTTTGATGCTTGCATTGATTTGCTCGGTGAGAAGCTACTTTTTAGCCGGTACTAAGCAATTTTTTAGCCGTTACCCAGCAACTTGGTTGTCGATACCGAGCGTTACCCGACGACTAGGCACCCAGCAACTTGCTTGCCATGCCTTGGCCACCCCTTGTTTTGGCATGCCGTGAGCAATGCATTGCCTTGCCCGGTGACAAGCAATCGGCTTGCCATGCCGTGAGCAACGCATTGCCTTGCCCGGT